TCCCCATGAAGTGGGAGCAAGCTGTTCATTGGCTTTTGCCCTTCTCCCAGTGATTCAGTCAAACGGAAACCTTCCTTTCTCCCACATGCACAGGGAACTGTGTCTGAACCTTCTGGGTGTGTGTGAATGTGTGGATTTCAGTGCATACACTCAGAAAAGAAAAGGGCTTTGTATGATCCAGCCGAGAGATCCTGCCTCGATGAGGTCATGGCAAAGTATATCGTTACCCGAAAACATCTTGTGGAAATTAAAGAAAGGAACGAACAGAAGATCTAGACTTATTTCATCATAGAGAACAGTAGTCCACAGGTGTCCTGGCCATCCATAGGGTAATACTGCTTCCCGACCTATGAGAGAGCCTGGTAAAAGAGCCCAGAAGGTGGGTCTCCCAGACTTTGTCTGAGGGCCTAAGGAAGAAGGTGGTGGGAGGTCCTCTTGATCCTGTGAGTCCTTGGGACAGCTTTATTCTATGTGTGGTCACAGAGAGAAATTGGTTCACTTCTGCCCTGGATACAGTTTATTTCCCGAGGCCTCCTGTTCCACACAAGTCAGTGGCCCAGCCCCTACCTTCTGGGAACGGCATTTGAGGCATTTCCGTTTCTAATCTTTATGCTATAGTGTGGTGCTGCATCAAAGTTAGGAATTTCAGCTAGTAACTCAAAGTCCATCCTATCTGCCCAGGCCTGGGGAACCCACTTCGGCATTAGATGACCTGAATTGTTTTCTCTCTTCATTCAGACTTCTGGCACATGGCCATGGTTTCTTTACCTTCTTCACCATGATCCCCTCCCACCTGATGGGTTCTAATCCCAGATGAGTCACCTTCCCTCTCTGGAACTCAGTTTCCTCAACTCTAAAATGGGAGGTTTGGACCAGCTGGTCTGTAAGCAGCTGAAGCCCTTCTGCAGGCAGAAGGTAGTCCCATCATCCTTTGTCATCACCTCCTCCTTGCTCTGCTGCTCCCCTCCCCTTCTCCCAATGAGGAACGTGAAGTGAATTCTGGTCCCCAGGGAGAGAGAGTTACTATTTACCTTCTTTGCTGGACAACCAGCCTTAGGCTTCCTGGGCTTCACTTTTCTCCCGTTTTCATCTCGCTAAAATGGGAGACTTCATTTTCTAAGTGTGTGGTGACAAGCACCTTAATCATCTTTGTTTTCTGAGGATCCCTGGTGCTGATTACCTTCCTACTTCATAAAGTCAGTCAGTCAGTGAGCATTTAAGTACCTGTTATGTGCCAAGTACTGTAAGTGCTGGGGATACAAAGAAAGGCCCCCTCAAATCTGCCCCCCCCAAAAAAAACCAGTCCCTGCAATCTGGGAGTTTACACTCTAGTCGGGGACACCACCTGTGATATACCACTGCATATACAGGATAACTAGGAGGTCATCTCCCAGGGAAGGCACTGAGATTAAATTTGACTGAGAAAGGCTTCGGGTAGAAGGTCACTTTAGCTGACACTTAAAGAAAGGGAATCTGAGGGGTAGAAATAGGGAGGAAGAGCATTCTGGGCAGGGGGATGCCCAGTGAAAATGCGCTGAGGTGGGAGATGGAGTGTGGTGTGTGAGAAAGCCAGAAGGCCAGTGTCCCCGGATGGTTAGGGTGTAGAGGAGGGGGGATAAAGTTATAAGAAGATTGGAAAGGTGGGCTCCATAGGGAGTCATGGGAGCCGATCCAGTAGGTGGGGGGGTTGACAGGCCAGACTTGCCCGTTTGGGAGGATTGATTGGACAGCTGAGGATGGATTGGAAAGTCAGTCAGTGTCTCCGAGCTTCAGTTTCCTGGTCTGTCAAATAGGAAGGATGATATCTGCCTGATCTATTTGGCAAGGTTTTTTGTGAGGCTAAAAGAGCTGGTAGGTAGGAGATTACTTCAGAAAGTTAAAAAGAGCTACAAGGAATTCACAGTTTGTCAAAGGATAAACCATATTAAGTGTCTGTGGGTAGAGAGCTGAGTACAGAGGCAGTATGGCATAGTGTGTAGAGAGCTGGTCTTAAAGTAAGGACTGAGTTCTAGAAGGTAGTGTAGTATAGAGGAAAGAGCCCTGGCTTGAGAAAAAAGGACCTGGATTCAAATCCTACCTCAAACACTAATTGTATGACTTTGAGCAAGTCACATCATTTCTGCCTCAGTTTCCTTAACTGTAAAATGACAGCGAGGCCTCTTGCTCCTCTAGGTCCATGATCCTGTTCATCTCTGCTCTTAACACATACTGGTTTTGTGACCCTAGACAAGTCCTTTAATTTCTCAGTGCCCCAGGCAGCTCCCTAAAACTGAATTGATGAGCAGATGCCTACCAAGATTGGTAAGGAGGGTTTACTCACTAGGAGTTATCATTCAGTGGAATCACAAGGGCAGCCAAACTCCTCCCCAGGTGAATGTAAGAGTTGTGGGGCACTTTGGGAAACATATTGGCTGAAGAGTAAGAGACCGTAGCTTCAGTTCTGGCTGGCGGCCAGGCGTTTATGTTGCACAGGACGTGTGTCATCTCATTGCTCCTTATGACATCCCTGAAGGTAGGTGCTATTTTTGTCCCCATTTTACTGATGAGGAAACTGAGGCAAACAGGTGACATGACTTGCCCAGGGTCACACAGCTAGCAAGTGTCTGAGGCAGGATTGGAAATCAAGCCTTCCTGATTCTAACTCCCATACTCTGCACTGCAAATCACTTCCCCTCACTGGACCTCATTTTTCCCATCTATAAAATGAGTGGATTGGACTGACTGACCCATAAAGTCTATTTCTAGCTCTGCGTTTCATTATCTTGTGAATGAATGGAAGATCTAATTTCTCCTGAATTTTTACCACAGGCTCCATGATGGGTGAGCGGCACTATCCCAGAAGAGGGCTTTTCACACCCCGAGACCCAGCATATTAGCAGATTGCAAATGACCAGATACAGGAAAATTATCAGGATTTCCCTAAGTAAATTCTCAATTCCTGGCCATTGCCTCCCAGGGTGAAAAACAAACAAACAGGTGACTTGCGCTCAAGGGCCTCCGGAGCGTGCTATCACATACATCCCCAACACGCTGTCTCATCAAGATCTAAGAAACCCACATTTCAGAAATAGGGGGAAGAGAGCTTCCTGTGCCAGAGAAATCAGCCTGGAGAAGAGTGTTCAATAGAACTGTCATAGTGGGGGGGGGGGGCGGGGGAAGAGGAAGTACTTCGCCGGTGCCTGAGTCTGGATGTCCTGGATTCTAACCGTCATTCATTGCTAACTTTCTGTGTGATCTTGAGTGAGTCATTTCTCCACTCTGCGTTTGGATAGGGTGATCTGTGAGGTCACTTCCAGCTAGGAAGATCCAGATTCTAGTCAAGTCCTCACTGACGATAATGTGTTCCCTTGAGCCACCTCTTTGGGATGTGGGAAGAGGAGAGAGAATACAGCAGTCACAAGGCAGGGAGAGGCTTTCACGTGGCAGGTGGTGGCCTAATTGGTTAATGTCACATGGACTCCTGGCAGGCCATGTGAGACAGTGGGCACAGCCCTGGAGGTGGAGCTGGGGGACCTTGATTTGAATCCTGATAATATTTGTCAGTTGGTGCTTAATAAACACTTGTTCATTCCCTCCCTCCCTGCCTTCCTTCCAATACCTCTCAGAGTCATGGGGAGGATCCCATGAGATGATGTTTATAAAGCACTTAGCACAGGGCCTGGTGCACAGGAGGTGCCTTCCCTTCCCTTCCCCGCCCCCACCCGTTTCTTGGCTCTGATCAGCCAGTTTGGGGACAGCAGGGGATCCCCTCCTGCCGGTTGTGGTTGGGGCCCTGGGGAAAGAGGGCTGACGGTCAGCCTGTGGCTTTAACTTCTCGTAGCTTCTTCCCCATGCTCTCCTTTTAAATGGCTTGCCTGGTGAGTAACAGTCACAGGAGCAGGTGAGTGGATGGGGTGGACAAAAGGCTGGCAGCATGGCTGAGTCTCATCTGGAAGTTTTGCTTACCCTTCCTGCTTGGTTCTGCATACGCTCTCAGAGGGTCCTGCCCCTTTCCCCCTAGCGCTGGTTCTCGCTCTCATTCCATTTCCTTTACATGGTGCCCATGATGGAGGGAGAGGGGTTTTCACATGCTTTAGTCATTGGGTTTCCTGCTGGCCAAGAGATTCTCAGTCTGGGTCTGAGAGGCACCCCAGGTTCCTATGGGTGGGGACAGGCCTGCCACCACCTTCTTGTGTGTGGGTTTTCTGCCAGTTAAGTTTGGCCCATCCAACATCTAGCCGCATTTCATCATGTGTGGTCAGTCAGATCGCCTTCATCGTCCACTTGAACGAGCTGGGCAGGCTGGTCCGATACTCAGCAGCAGAAGGATGGTGGCCTCAGTCTTGTGTGTCCCTGCCTAGGTTTGGTGCTGGCTGGAATGTTTCTTACTATGGGCAGGACTTGGAGGAGGAGGGACTCACCTGAGCCTGGGCAGTGGGAGAGTTGGGGGCAGGGACAGGGGGCCACACTCTCTGCACAGCGGCCTTCTTCCTTTACCGTGCTGCTTCGTCCTCCACCCTTCCCTGCCCCATGACGATGATGCCACTGGGCAGCAGGGGCCAGCCTGGTCGTCTCCTAGTTATGTAACTTTGGCCGCATCTGTCTTCTCATCTGTAAAATGGGTGGCTTTGACTATGCTCATTAAAGTTTCTTTGAACTTAGTGCTCTGAAAGTTCCTTAAGAACCCATACCGTTTCATATCATGCCATCATACCCCCAACACTTCAGACAGGTGCCCGGCACATAGTAGGCACTTTCTAAATGCATGCTGATTGACCGAGGGCTTCTCTGAGCAGTAAGCACTCACTGCCCCCTCTGCATGTTACCTCCAGGGGCAAGTGGCATGTCCACATTGCCTCCCTCCTCGCGGCTACTCTTGTGGAATGGGAAGTCCTAGCAGCTGAGCGGGGCATGCAGTGGGACTTGCGGGGTCCAGAGTTGCCTCATGCCCCTGCTTAGAGGTGTTACAGCTCTCTTTTTTCTCTCTCTCTCTCCCCTCCTCTCTCCCTTTTTTCCTCCAGGGCATCGAGCGGCTCAAGAATGAGGACCCAACTTGGGAGAGGACCGTCAGCTGGGCAGGAATGAAAGCAGCTTTTGGCGGTGATTTCTCCCTGAACTGGTTTAATCCTTTTACCAGCGTGGCCAACAAGACGGACGTAACTCTTGCAGTGGTGGCCTCAGGAACGGCCTCAGGAAGCCGGGAAGGGTGCTCGCAAGGGTGCTCGCAAGACTTGGATGAGTCTGAGGAAGTAAAATCATAGAGGCTCACCCAGTGTTATTGGGGTCTCAGAAGGGCCTGCAGCCCCCGGGATACGCTGTAGAAAGAAAACCCAAAGCAGGAGGGAAAAGACTTCAGCTTATGGGATTTCCCCCAAAACCTCCAGTCTGGAAAGACTACTCCCTTTTAACCCATTCCTCCTCCCCTTCTTACTCTTGAGAGGAGAACGACCAGCCTTTCTCTGTGGTTCTCTGAGAATGTGGCCTTGCGCTTAGTGTCACGTTTCCCTGTCATTCTGGACACTGAGCTTTCTTTCTGGCCACTGTTCTCAGTTTATTACCATCATCAAAGTAGATCCTGGAGGCTGACTCCTTTTGCCTCTGCTTCTCCTGGGAAACCTGCCCTTCTGAAGGACCAGGGAGAACAGACCTGCTCCCAGGCCCTTGGAAGTGGAGCTCAGGAAAGGCAGACCAGAAAAGAGCCCAACAGGAGACAAGGAGAAGGCTGGAATGGAGGAGGGGGCTAGGAGGGGGAGTCAGGTTCAAAGCCTGATGGCAGGGCCCTGGCTCTCGAGATTTGTGGGCCCCAGTCACCTCCCTGACTTCTAGAGGTTGGCACTGAAACTAATTGGTCTAGAGTAGATAGAAGTTAGGAAATAAAAGCACTTCCCCAAATGTGGGAGCATTTCAGGGAACATCCCCTACTGCAGGGGGTAGAGAAGGCAGGGCCGGCCACGATCATTTCCTGTCTTGTGTTGCTGTGTACAATGGCCTGACTTCCTCTTACCTTGGGCTGAGACTTAGGGAAGTCAACCCAAAGGGATGATAGCCACTACAGAAACGAACGTCCCACTGTTAGCTAATTTTTAAGAATGCCTGGCCCAAAGTGCAATACATTACTCACAAGAATGTCAGGGGTTGTGCCACTGAGGTGGCATATTTGTTTTCCTGTCCCCAGTGTCAGGATTAATTTAAAAGAGAACTCTAGTGATGAGTTCAACATGGACAGTACTAAGGAGATTAATTTATGCATATGTGCACTGGGAGATATGGCTTATGTTGGGATCATGGCACAGGAAATCAGCCCACTGATAGGTGATTTTCATTGATTAGTCAGCAGAGTTTGGCTAGCACCCAAAAAAAAAAAAAGCTTATGTCCAATATAGCCAAGTGCCTTTATCAAGATGAACAATTTGGAGATTATATTACATTATGAAATAATGGGTAAGTGTGAGTGTTAGTGTATCACATATAGGAAAATCCATTGAAGGGCTTTAAATCTCCCTTATGGGGAAAATTCACCAATTTACATAGGCTAATGGGGCCCCCAGCAGATTTTAAAGAAAACCTCACAAGCAGTTCAGGTCTTTAAAAGGAAAAGGAAAAGTCTGCCTCCAAAGAAGGGTCCCAGCTAAATCAGTTAGATTGGCGTATTAAAAGAACAACAAACTTTTGTTTCTAAGAAACTTGTTTCCTCCTCAAGTGGATGGGTGGTGCCTTGATGTGTTCACTCAGTCTAATCAAAGAGGCGTCCAGCTGTTGTTTGGATGCAAAAGAAAACATTGGATTTTCCTTCCATGTGTCTTGTGGGTGTCTCTGTCACACACACACACACACACACACACACACACACACACACACACATATTCACACACTTGCACACGCATGCACATGCATTACCACTTACTGTCTTCTAACATGCCTGGCCACACCATCTCCTAGTCAGGTGTGATCCTGGCAACTGGATACTGACTTGTGACAATACAGCTTTGATGGGGCAGAAGTGCTCTGGCTTTCCATTCAGTCATAGCCTTCCCCCCCCCTCAACTTAAGAAAGGGGAAGGGTCTTTCTGCCTAGTGTTCACACTAGGCCCCTTGGTATGAGGCCGAGTCATCACCCCTTAGCCAGATGTCATTCAGAAACTTAACTCTCCACCTCTGCCCCCAACTCTTCCTGTGATTTAACCCTTCCCTTCTGGTGACTAAGGCTGCTGGGCTTCAGTCCTGTTTTTCTAGTCCCCGTTTAGATGAAATCAGCTGAAAACTAACTCAAGTTACCCTGCCTGGATTTGTCTGAGCTGGCTTCAAACCTGCCTAGCAGCTACAGTATACTACTCTATCTTGGCTCTAAGTTCAAAAGAAAGCATGGTTGCCCCACTTAATAAAGCCAGATCAGATTTTTTGGGATGTGGACATAGGGCATTCTTCATGTCATGATTTTCATGAATGGGGAGAGAGAGAAGATAGCAGAACAACAGCCCTGTCAGAATGAGGCCACATGGAGGATAAGTAAAATGGATGTTGGAATCTCTTTGTTATCACTAACCACAACTAGTGTGCCTCTTACTGATGGGACCAGCGAGTCTGGGGAATGAAGAACTCAGTAAGTTGTAGCAGCTTTCACCATAAACACAGAGAATACAAAACCTCCTTTGACCCCTTAAGGTTTTATGAGGCTTCTGGGTTGGCCATTTGATTTTCTCCAGAGCAGCTTTATTATTTGTGAAATGAGGATATCCTGAGCCTGAGATGGCTCTTCGGACCAGATAAACTTAAATTTAAGACTGGTCGCTGAGCTACGCGTCATTCGGTGCTCAGGAATCCTGTGTCATTGTCTGAAAGCAAAAGGTCTTGCCATTTCCTCGGAAGGAATTGTTCTCTGAGGGTATGGACCACAGTGCTCTCCTCCCATTCAGCAAGAGGCAGCTTAGGACTTACAGTACAAGTTTTATACCAAAGAGCCAACCTATCTGTGGAAGTATTGTGGTTCTTCATACACTCTTTGTGTGTGATGGAAGAAGCAGCATTAGGGACTGAGCTAAAGGAATTAGGTAGAAGGAAAAGCCTAAAAGTCTGAGCTGCAGAATTTATCCGGGAGATCAGGCTGGGACAGTTGGCCTAGCAGCCTCTCCAAAAACAAATGGGCAGTCCACTCATCAGAGGTGCATTAACCTATTTGTTCTGCCTCTCTGCCCAGCAGGGGTTACATACCAAAGGGAAAAGATTTTCTTTGGACCTAAAGCAGGATCTTGGTGTGGGACTCATCCTTGAGATGACAGCTAGGGGCTTGTTCACACTCTTACCTGTAAGAGCTGAACAATTCCTAGGCCCCTCATCTGCAGACCAGAAACAACAGCCCCTATTACTGACACCCAGTCCGGAGTGCCAGGACCTGCTGGGCCTTCCTTTGCATCTGATGAACTGTCCCATCCGGCTCCCCGACGGTCAGGCCTGAGGCAGAAGCGTCGCTCCATCCGCAGTGAAGTGAACCAAAGCAGCTTTGGACATGACAGCCCACCGAGGGACAGGGCTACAATTGATCCCCAGCTACAATTCCTTGGCTACAGCTGAAATCTCAGTCTTCAGGATTTGCAAAAGTTCTTACGGCCAAGGAAATCATGAGATGGGTTCTACTGTTAGAAAATGCTGGGCTCAAGCGTTTGCCTTTGGGTGTGAGAGGAGAACCCCTTAGCCGGGGCTTTGGGCCTCCACATTGGCGTCCAGGAACTAGAGAGCTCTCCTGGAAGCCGTGTCGTCTTTCATCCCCTGCCTTCTGTATGCCTGTCTAAGGTCCCTGGCTGGAATTATGCAACCTTCTGAGAAGACCCATCTGGGCTGGAGGGGGCAGGTTGTGCTTTCATTTCAGGAATGGAAAGTGAAGGGGTGTCCTGCATCTCCAGAGCCCACAGCTGCAGCTCCTCAGTTCCAGCCTCCAAATGTTTTTTTGTGCTCTTGGTGTCTGTAATAATGTTTGGTGCCTTGGAGAGTTTCTTTATTTACTAAAACATGTCATTTCTCTCACTGTTGGCTCAGCTGTGTTATTTATCACCAGGAGGGGTGGAACCACCATCCTCAGTGAGCAGTCTATAGAATATTTCTAGGCTCAAGCTCAGCCTTGTGTAACCAGGCCCAACAAGAGTTAGAGGGCAGGGGTGGTGGAGCATGGCTCCTGGTGTGAAGGACGTGCAAATTATGGACAATTACCCTTAGTTGGTTCAACATGCATTTTTTGAGTGTCTGCTGTATGCACAGCAGGTCTGACCCAGGCCCTGTGAGGGAGACAGACAAATGTAAAACAACATGGCTTCTGCCCTTCAGGGCTAAGCAACCTCATAAAGAAAACAAACCAAAAATGCATAGGAAAGTAAAATAATAATCGGGAGGCTACATAAAATGAATTGCCAGGGATTGTGGTGGGGAGGGAGGATAAATCTTTTTTTGTTTTTGTTCAAAAGGGACCTGCACAGACCCACAAAAAACAACTAAAAGAAGGAAAAATTGCTTCTTCGAGATGAGGATAAAGGAGAGAGAGCTGGTGCTCTTCTTGAAAAAAGACAAAGGGGTCAACTTAATTAACATTTTTGAGTGTTTAAAGGATTTTAATGAAAATAATGATCCTGTTTCCTCATCTGCAAAATGAGCGATGTGAATAAAATCAGAGATTTCAAGCTGGAAGGGACCTCAAAGGCCATCTGGTTTATTTTATAGATAAGGAATCTTGAGGCTCAGGAGGGGTGGGGAGTGAAGTGACTTGTCCAAGTTTGCACAGGTAATATAAAAGGCAGGACTGGAGCCTTCGCTCTGAGGCCTTTTCTGCCTCTACGACTGTTATTCTGCAGCTCCTTCTTCCGATCTGGAGAGTCTAACAAGATATAATGAATTTAAAGCAAGAGAGGTTTCACAGGGAGGGCTTTGTATAGAGCAGGTGCTTAATAACTGTTCACTGAGCTCAGTGGTTTAAGAAAGCACTCCCATGATCATCAGCAAAATCCAACACTAGAGCAGCCTCCTAAGGTTGGTTTTGAGGTCTCTATCCTTAGAGATGTTTTTAGAACAGAACAGTTTAGAAAAATTCATCTGGAGACTACAGCCCATTAGAGCCACATGTTACCTACATGTCTCAAGTTCTGTGTTGTTCGAGAGTGAGGCTTGTGCTGAGGACCTCTTCCCATGGCGTGTCTGGATTTAAAGTGGTCTGGCTGCTTCTCGGCTACTTGGGCTGCCTCACTCTAGACAAGCGGGCTATTGGTAGGAAGCTCCAATTGCTCTAGGAGTGCTAGAGAAGCCCAGAAGGAAGAAAGGATCTTCAAGCCCCTGACCTGAAGGGATTTTCATGTTCATTTTGGTCCATCAGAAAGAAGAAATGGACAGCAGCAAGAACAGAGAGGAGAAAGAAAAAACCCTCAACCCATAAACTGACCATATGTTCCCCAATAATGGAAAGAATCAATTGAGCCAGTGTCAGAGAACTGGTCCAAAGTGTGGCTGAGTTCAGAACTTTGCCATGAGGGGAGCTGAAGTGTGTAGCTGTGTGTGCCTAGCCTAAGAAAAGAATAAGAACAAGAAAAGCCACCAGTTGGCTAACAAATCCCAGAAATCTTCATGGAAGCTTCCGTTATTTCAGTTATTGATGTCTTCAACACTCAAACATTTAAATGCCTACCACGTACAAGGCACTGTACTGGGCACATAGGTTGATGTTGCTAGATTAGAATGACCTAGTCCCTGCTCTCAAGAAGCTTCCATTCTACTGATGATGAGATAGAGATGGCTTGATGAGATGGGCGCTTTCTTGTCATGTGGTGGGTGCTGCCTTGAAAAAAAGCCCAGAGGCAGAAGTAGAATGGGCCCACATTCCTGAGATGAGCTGGGTTGGCAAGAGTGGCCATCAGCCTAAGAGTATGTAGTTAGAACTGGAAAGGACTTTAGAGGTCAACTACTCAACCCATTTGTTTGACTATGTATCTGGCACATGGTAAGACGTGTTTGTTGATTGGCTAATGAGATGGGTCCGGAGAGGATCTGGCGAGAGCATGAAATCAAGAAGAGCTCAAATCCTGCTTCAGTTATAACTAGGTGACCCACGGCTATTCTCTTAATCTTGCCTAGCCTCTGTTTCCTTATCTGTAAAATAGGGATGATAATAATAATAGCACTAACCTCACAGGGTTGTTCTGAGGCTCAAAACAGATAACCTATGTAAAGGCCTTGGAAGCCTTACGTTGCTATATAAATCACATCGGTTATTATCACCTGAGGTCATACAGGGACATTATTTTATTTACATGGTCCCCCTATCAACCCAACTGCTGTCCCTGTGGTCTCTTGGTCACTCACTGCTCCTGTGAAGTGGGAAGTTTTGGAACTAGAAGGTGGCGGGGGTCAGGAGTACCGCCGGCAGCCCAGATCTGGTTACTTTTTGTAACTCCCCAGCCCCTGTCCGGTGAGATCCAGTGGCAGGTTTTGGCCCTAGGGCTCAGGACTCAAAGCACAAACCTGACATTGTTGTGGGGAGGCCGTCAGTCAAGTGGGAGGCAGCCAGGCCCATCTGTTAGCCTCTTCTTAACCTTAGCAAGAGTCTCATAACATCCAGCCCTTTTGGGAAAGGGTGGAGCAGAAGCTGGGAGAGAGTGAATGTTTTGGTTTCTAGGTAGTCAAAGGAAATGTTTTCCAAACTGGGCTTACTGGGGAGGGGGAAGGAGGGAAGCCTGAAGCCTAGAAATCTTTTTTTTTTTTCAAAAACAGTTTTTCTGTAATATTTAGTGAGCCCACAGTCTAAATATCATGAGACAACTGAAAAGGATCATCTGTCCCTACAAGGATCAGAAATACCTGAGTTCAAATCCTGTCTCAGACACATGACCCCAGGCAAGTTTCTCAATCCTTTTGTGCCTCAGTATTTTTAACTGTAAAGCAGGGATAATAACAGTACCTACCTCTAAGGATTATTATAAGGATCAAAGCAAGATAATATATGTAAAGCATTTTGCAAACATTAAGGTGCTATCTATATAAATGCTAGTAATTATTCAGAAGTGGGAAAAGTTTTAAATGCAGATACCCCTGGGATAAGATCTTAAGTTCATCCAAAGAATTATTTTGGTAGAGGGTCTGAAGGTCTGGGGAAGGGCGCCCTAGAAGAAAGAAAGGAGGGTGCATAAAAAGTCTGGGAGGCCCTAAGACCAATCTTTGCCTGACCCATGTTCTGTGCAGAACATGTTAAAATAACAAAAGTTGGCAGGTGAGGGCAAAAATTGCTTAGTCAGCACACAAAGCCCTTCACCCAGCCAGGCCTTGGCCAGGCTCCCAAAGCATGGGAATGAAGCCATCCCTGAGAGGCCCTCTTTGAAGTGGCCTGTCTGGGAGACGCCTCCATTTCCTTTGGTCAAGCCTCCTATGGCATGGACTCAAGACCCTTTGCCATTCTGGGGCCGTCTTCTGGATATTCCAAATCACTTAACTCTGGGCTTTGCACCCAAAAGGTGCTCAGTATGCCCTTGTCACATGAACTAATGAATGAACAAAATACTCACATAAAAGAGTCAAAGTAGCCACAGCCTTGGAATTCCATCCTTCACCAGCCCTCACATCTGTACATACCCAAGTTATGTACAGTGGTATGTAACATTATTAACCATAACTATGTGAATATAATCCATAACCTAATTCCCCAATGGGAAATACCACCATTTCCAATCAAACCAATGAATGAGTTCTCTCTGCTTCCCTCCATCTCTTCAATAGCAGAGAAATTCTCACTCAGTGACAGTGAACACCTTTTCAGCATAAATTCTTTCTAGTCTTTAATGGATCACAGAATATTTGGCATTTAAAAATCCCATCAGGCAAGACATCCCAGAAAAATGCAAAGACAGACATGAATTCATTCATACATGTTAGTATCGTTTATGTTTCGTTTGCAAAGAGGACCAGCGACTTCCTGGAGTGATGTCTTGACTCGTGAGTGAACTGGATTTAAGTGAGGCAAACTTGCGCAAAATCATCAGCCTCACTCAAGACATAATTCAAGACAGCTAGTGATGGTCCAGGATGCAGTGGAGGCCCTTGGCATCTTCAATGTCTGCCTAAGCTCCAAGCACTCCACAGCACCTGCCTCAGCCACCTTCATGGCTTTTGGAGCAAATTGTTCTCAGTGTATTTTTTTTTTTGTGAAGCAATCAGGGTTAAGTGACTCGCCCAGGGTCACACACCTAGTAAGTGTCAAGTGTCTGAGGCCAGATTTGAACTCAGGTCCTCCTGACTCCAAGGCCAGAGCTCTATTCACTGTGTCACCTGGCTGCCCCAACAAAATTGTTCTCGTTTGCCCATTCCACCAGGGGAAAGTCTTCACATGCTTGGGATTGATATCTCCTTAACTCACCAATGGATTTAAGGTTACCCTCAACCTGGTTCAGCCCATCTGCCCAAATGGTTTACCAGGGTATGGCTGTTGCACATGCTAGAGCTTCTTGGAACCACAGGTGAGAGCTGAGTGCCAGGTAGACACCAAAGGTGAATGAGCAGCCCTGAAAAGGGCTTGGCAGCCCTCACTCCAGAGGTGCTAGTGCTCCTGGAACACTCCATACACCCCTCATATATATTAAGCACCTCCTGCCTGTCACCGTGCAAGGCACAAGTGGAGATACAAAGTTTAGAGAAGGCACGATCCCTACTTTAATGGCTCTAAGAAAATATAGCACATACACCAATAACTCCTTTCACTCAGTCAACACTTATCGGTCATTATGAGTCAAGCATTGTCCAAGATGCTGGGAACACAACAGCAAAAATGAAACAGTTCCTGCCTTCAAGGAGTCTAACTTCTAATTATATCAATTATTCTCCAATTAGCACCAGATCAAAGGAGGTAAGGGGCTGACCTCCCTTTGAGTCAGTTCTGTTGAACTCCTCTCTCCCTCAGCACCCGAGTGGTGGGCTTCCCGCTGACATCATCAGCACCTGGCTCTGAATCTTGGGATCATTGTCTTTCTATCTTTACCTCCTCTGGGTAGATATACACC